AAAGATTCCTATCGCTAATGTGAAATCAATTTTACAATAACCAAGAGCTGGCAGAATACAAACTTTTGACCCAAGTAGCACACGTTGGCCCAACGTTGGGAAATGGTCGGCACGGTTGGGAAATGGTCGGCACGGTTGGGAAATGGTTGGCAGAAATTTTAACGATTTGCCAACGTTGGCCCAACGGAAACTGGTATTCGTTGGCCCTACAAAGGAAAGCATCGTTGGGCCTTCGTTGGGCATTCGTTGGGTTTAAGTATAAAACATTCTAAAACGAATTTTAACAAATTGGTTTATTTAAAAGTACATGTTACGGCAGCAGAATATAAGGCAAATATTGTAAAAATTTGGATCAATAATGAATGTAGTCAGATGATGTTGTGATACTAGATACAGTGGGGAACACCTGCTTAACATATAGGTAATAATTATTATAATTAATTTTTTTTATATTCTTTAACTTATTTAAGCAAGTTTTTAATAGTTATAGAGAAAAGATTAATTAATTATATAACAATCAATTATAACAGTAGCCTACTAATCTAATGGTAATTAAATAATCTATATTCAAATACTAGTATCATCTCCAACTACCAGAAGAACAATTCAACTACTTGAGGCCTAAACAGATTAACAGAATCATATTACAGTATACTGTAGCATCAAAAATATTTAAAGTATTAATTGTGACCATTGCACCTGTCGGCTACTCTTTCACCACTTGTAAACACTCATAAGCAATAAGCACAGTTACCTCAGAGGTATGGTGTGAGGCTCACATGTCGAAGGTACCGGGTTCGAGACCCGTCCCGGCCCAAAAAATTTTATTTAGTTTTATTTTCAAAATAAGTTTTTATGAACTACTTAATCAATTTACTCAACTCATAATTATGCACTGCATACAAAATCTTTATTATTTTGTGTTTTTATGTTTATGCCCAATGGGATGGTTGGCCCTTCCGCAAAAATTGGTTGGTTGGCCAACCGTAAGACTGAGTGCCAAAACATACCGTTGGCCAACGATCGACAGAAACGTTGGGCCAACGATTTGCCAACGATTTTTGCTACTTGGGGAGCTAGGATATATACTTAGTGGATCTGCAAGCTTTGCCAATTACCTAAACGAACCCAGAGTTCAGAAACGGCAGCCTACAATAAACCCTTTACAAGAAAAAATGTAAAAAAGTTGCACATAAAGTTAACCTGTTGAGAGCAAATCTTTGTTATTCAAAATAACAGTGAAATCTTTCATATGGACGTTTATAATTGTGGAAATGTATAACAGAATGCGAGAGTTTCTGTTATTTCTAGTTGGTCGTCAGGACCACAACCAAAGGGAGTTGAGATATTATGTTTCATTCATACAAATCACACATGGGAGTATTTCAAAGAAAATTTGCTTGACATGTACTCAATGCTAAGACCTGGACCAAACACATATCTCAGAACATGTGCCTGGGACTCATGAATGGAAAGTACCTTTAGTAGTTTCAAAGTATCACATTTTATGCTCCCATATTTCAAAGTCTCTCATAAAAGTCGCCCCAGCTAATTTTATGGTGTAAAACAGTCACTCTAGTTTTACAGCCTGACTATAATTCTTTGGCATACCTTATGAGAAGTGGTAGGCTGCATCTAACTCAACTTGATTTACTGATCATTAAGTCAGTTCTTGTAGCTTAGAGAGTTTTAATTTTTATAGATTTTTACCTCACAATAAATTAAAGATCTAATGGTGTTACTTGAATATAACTTTAAATATTGGTCAGAATTAAGTAATTAAAACTTGGAAGGATTAATCTTCATTTGTAGGCCTAAACGGCAAGTGTAATCGGTTATTACATGTCAGCTTCAAATTATTTACAATTTCAGGCATTTTGCCTATGCTAGGATGTGACATCCTCACTCCTCAGTAGTAAAGCTCAGACTGAATCTGCGTTCAATATTTTAGCTGAAATCATGGGAGGGCATACATAAGATTCTAGTCCATACACTTGATTTGTTTTTATTTTTCAATTTTGTATTAAGTTTTATTAAATAATTCACAATCATAACAAACTAGCTGCTATATAACCGTGCTTCGCAAAAGAGAGGATGCAAATAGAGTAATGCAATTATTTTCATCTACTGTATGAGTAGTTACCAAGTTACCTACCATAGTTCTTAGAAACAAAACTTAAGTTTGGCAAATAATTCAAGAAGCTAGCTTAGTGTGCACAAAAAAAGACAAAATTATCGAGGGAAGAATAGATTGTTCTGGGTCCTCTTAAGTGTATTCAAAAAAATAACGTGAAAACTTTGGACGTCAGTGAGGAGAGTTTCACAATAAAAATAGGCTTAATATCCATCTGTAGCATATTGGGTCTACTCTTGCAAAAGTTTTAGCTTAATTGGTGCAGTAGTTTTTATGTGATTGACTTTGTGACATACTTACAAACATCCAAACTCTCGTATTTATGATATTAGCAAGATACATCAAAGAGAAGAAAGGTACAGAGGTAGCATTCAATATTAAGTGGTGCCTAGCAATAGTCGCTGGTGTCTAGGGCAAAGTCCGACACCAGCCCATTGTCCTCATGTACTACAACACTAACGGTGGAGGAAGACCCTGTGCCCTGTGCAATAGGAATTTCTGCACATCTTGCCCCTCAAAGGCTCTTGATCCTTGTTTGTCACAAGTATATATCCGGCACAACATACTAGAGCTTAACGTGCACAGTTGTCACATGACCATGTTTTATCTGTACCTTTACTTCTCTGTGGACATATTTAATTCTACTGCTAATTGTTTCAACTCCTCTTGAGCAACTCAAGTGTTCACAGTCAAAATCATAACCATTGGTTGTAAAACTGCTCTTTTTGTCTGATAAGAGGCTTTTATACAGATTTTGCTTTTAATCTGCTTCTATGAGGGATAAGATTCCAGAGGAGTAGAATTCCGGGGACCCTGCGTTAGTATACTTTGAGATGTTATCCAATGCCACAATTAAGACTAAACCACTTATCTTTACTGACTCCTTAAGCTGTGTTTATACGAAGCCAGGTGGCAGGCAGGCTATTTGCCTCAGGTAACTTGAAATACACTAGAGGCAGGCCCCATAACCTGCCTGCTCTACTGGTCTCTTGTAAACGCTGCTTTAAGGTAGCCTATGGTTAGTCAATGGTGTTACCTTACTTTTAGTACTTAATGTAAAAGGAAACAAACTCAATCCAGACAGCACTTAGTTTTTAGTCAGGCAAAGCATGAATGTGAGGCCCAATTCTGTCTTTACATTCAAAGAAAAACTTCATCAAATCAGTTATATAAGCAGGTGTATTTGGAGTGATGAAAGTAGCCATATCCTCCCTAGTTGATGGTTCTGAATACTTCTTGTTCTGCGGTAGTATATGGGACGCAGGGTTAGCAAAATCTTCAATAGAGTATTTCTTCTTGATGAACTCTTTTGTTCTTTTGTAGACTCTACTCAAAGGATAAATGGGTCTTGGAGGAACATCCAGCAATATTCTAATTTTATCCATATCATGAATGTCCAGGAAGTCTTTAGCTCCGCCTCCCAAATATTCTCCTTTTAAAAACACAAATGGGGTATTACTATTTCCTGTTAATTTTTCTAGTGCGTGAAGTAGTTCAAAACCATCTCTTCTCATATCAAGCTCTACAGCATAGTAGATGTAGTCACAATCATGGAACACACTCTTTGCCTTTTTAGAAAAAGAACAATAAGTTTTTGAAAATATCACTACATTTCTGCTTTGTATTTCTTGTTGGATGAAGTTTAAAATGGTCGGATCACTGTCTGAAACTAAAATAGAAATAGTTTAAAATGACTATGAATAAACAAGTCTAAATATACACAGATAGGAACTTAAATTATAGTTTAATGAGTTTTACAGTTATTAAAATGTATATTACATTTTTTGTATATTTTACTAATTTTAGTACTGTATTTCTATATGTATCCTTTATAGTGGTGAATAAACTGTGATTTGTTGATTACCAAAGTGTATAGCTACAACTTACTATTTTCTATTAAATTTGTATTCTGGGTTTCAGGCTCCATCTTTTTTTAGGTCTTATAATAATAAATGAATAAGATTAAAACTTTATTTAAAAGATAATATCCACTCAATGACACTTGCTGCAACTAAATTAGAAACAATTCAAACAGGGAAATATGTAAAACTATTTCAGTTCTTTAACTGTAAGTATAACAAGCTTTATTTATCAGTAATGTGTGTACAAATTATTAGATATCTGAACATATATTTGAGATTATAATTACTGTTAGGTACCCTTTTACTACATAATGTTAACATTTCCTACATGATATAACTTATTTATAATTTAGACTTTATTCTCACAACACTTAGTGTGCAATTTTTGGTCAAGGAAGGGTTAAATGGGGTCTTTATCTAGCCTTAAACTCTGCTCTACTCTCAAATACCCCCTCCTGTAGCTTACCAATCCTAAAGTGGATTTTATGTTGTTAATCAACCATTACTGTATAAACAGCTGTATGGTTATAATACAGACAAGAGAATATTATACAAAACTAACAAAAGTGTACAATCCACGAATACTAGAAAAATACCGGTATGGATCATAAACATAAACAAATGACGTTGTTGGCCCGAATCCTATAGGTACTAATAGCATTGAACATATGTTTTGGCAGTTCCATTTAAGCAATGTTAAATAATGTTTATTTTCGAGCCAAAAACATCATTTGTTTATGTTTATGATGCATACCGGTATTTTTCTAGTATTAGTGGTACAATCCTACCTTTATTTTTCAATAGTTTTGAAGGTGAAGATTATCATTTTTGAAGCTCTATGTAAAAAAATACTATCTTCAGAAAGCAGTACTATTTACGCTTAGTCACCTGCACTACTTTGTTATTCTTTGCCACTCACAAATATCAGATTTCAGAAGCTGTTAGAGTATTTAGAAGTAATATCTTGAAGTAGAAGATCGTGTCTTTTCTCTTTCATTTACTGCACTATATACACAGGTTTGTGTTGACACCTCATCTAATAAATCTGTTTTTCATATTCAGCTTTTCTCAATGCATAGTCGGTCTCGTCCGGGTACATTTTTGGCAACACCATGTAAGGTTCGACTCCCAATCTCTCCTCCAACTCTCCACTTTCGTATTGCATTCCTATATATCGACTTCCTGCCACATAAGCCTTCTTGTAAAATATATGTGGAAGTTCTGCATTGTCCGTCATCTTCTCGAGGAGTTTCTCTATTTCCTTAGCATGCGGCTCCTGGCCAAACACATAAGGTTTGAACGGTTTCTCAAAGCCTTCTAGTACGTCTTGAGCAAAAATGAAAGCTGACCTTTGTATTTTGTCGGTAAATATGACAACTTCGTCAGTGTCCAAAGCAGTTTTGACATAGTCTGTAGCGTGGTTTACCTCTAAAATATAAATAAAGTAAGTGTTATCGAGTATAGTCAATTATCAATAGAACTAGAAGGGTTAAGGCTTGATTACAACACAGGACTAGGTTACAAGCAGCCAGCTTTTTCATACACAGCTGATAAACAGGTGTTTGGTTCTAAAGAGCATAGACAAAAAAATTAAATATAGATCCTCAGATGTGCTGCGGTTTGGTTACCATAGGTTCTGTCTGGCGCACACCACTGGGAGCACCATGTAGTTATGTACGGCCTACGCGCTACGTCTATGAAGACCAGAATCTATGGTTACCATGGTAACCACTGCACGGCTGACAGTCTATATTTAATTCTTTTTGTCTATAATAAGAGTTAGTATTACCATTGACTAGTACCTGGGGACCGAGCTTTGCTCGGGGAAAATCATTAGTTCACTCTGAAAGCAGTCTTAGTATTGGAGATACATAAATCCATTCCCAACCTCCACACGGCTCGCCTTTACTACGTCCTACACCATTTCCTACGTCATGGACCTGTTTCCCTCCATTCCTATAGCACTTTAGGATTGTAGATACCTTAATCTAATCGTTATTAACAGTTCCCACACTCTGGACAGCTCGCATTGACTACTTCCTTCACCACTTCCAACGTAGCGAACCTGTTTTCCTCCCTTCCCATAGCATTTCAGAATTGCAGACACCTTAATCTAATCGTCATAAACAGTTCCCACGCTCCATACTACTCGCCTTTACAACTTCCTTCACCACTTCCTACGTCGCAAACCTGTTTCCCTCCCTTCCCATTGCATTTAAAGATTGCAGATACCTTATAACCTAATCGTCATAAACAGTTCCCACACTCCGGACTACTCGCCTTGACTACTTCCTTCACCACTTCCTAAGTCGCGGACCTTGTTTCCCTCCTTTCCCATAGCATTTTAGGATTGCAAATACCTTAATCTAATCGTCATAAACAGTTCCCAAACTCCGGACAGCTCGCCTTGACTACTTCCTTCACCACTTCCAACATAGCGGACCTGTTTTCCTCCCTTCCCATAGCATTTCAGAATTGCAGACACCTTAATCTAATCGTCATAAACAGTTCCCACACTCCGGACCACTCGCCTTGACTACTTCCATCACCACTTCCTACGTCGCGGACCTGTTTTCCTCCCTTTCCATAGCATTTTAGGATTGCAAATACCTTAATCTAATCATCAAAAACAGTTCCCACACTCCGGACAGCTCGCCTTGACTACTTCCTTCACCACTTCCTACGTCACGGACCTGTTTCCCTCTCTTCCCATAGCATTTTAGGTTTTCCCTTACCCTTATCTAATCGTCATAAAAAGTTCCCACATTACGGACAGCTCGCCTTGACTACTTCCTTCACCACTTCCTACGTCGCGGACCTGTTTTCCTTCCTTCCCATAGCATTTTAGGATTGCAGATACCTTAATCTAATCGTCATAAACAGTTCCCACACTCCGGGCAGCTCGCCTTGACTACTTCCTTCACCACTTCCTACGTCGCGGACCTGTTTCCCTCCCTTCCCATTATATTTAAAGATTGCAGATACCATAATCTAATCGTCATAATCAGTTCCCACACTCCGGACTACTCGCCTTGACTACTTCCTTTACCACTTCCTACGTCGCGGACCTGTTTCCCTCCCTTCCCATAGCATTTTAGGATTGCCCATACCCTTATCTAATTGTCATAAACAGTTCCCACACTCCGGACAGCTCGCCTTGACTACTTCCTTCACCACTTCCTACGTCGCAAACCTGTTTCCCTCCCTTCCCATTATATTTAAAGATTGCAGATGCCATAATCTAATCGTCATAATCAGTTCCCACACTCCGGACTACTCGCCTTGACTACTTCCTTTACCACTTCCTACGTCGCGGACCTGTTTCCCTCCCTTCCCATAGCATTTTAGGATTGCAAATATCTTAATCTAATCGTCATAAACAGTTCCCACACTCCAGGCAGCTCACATTGACTACTTCCTTCAACACTTCCTACGTCGCGGACCTGTTTTCCTCCCTTCCCATAGCATTTCAGAACTGCAGACACCTTAATCTTATCGTCATAAACAGTTCCCACACTCCGGACTACTCGCCTTGACTACTTCCTTCACCACTTCCTACGTCGCGGACCTGTTTCCCTCCCTTCTAATAGCATTTTAGGATTGCAGATACCTTAATCTAATCGTCATAATCAGTTCCCACACTCCGGACTACTCGCCTTGACTACTTCCTTCACCACTTCCTACGTCACGGACCTGTTTCCCTCTCTTGCCATAGCATTTTAGGTTTTCCCTTACCCTTATCTAATCGTCATAAAAAGTTCCCACATTACGGACAGCTCGCCTTGACTACTTCCTTCACCACTTCCTACGTCACGGACCTGTTTCCCTCTATTCCCATAGCATTTTATGATTGCCTTTACTACTTCCTTCACCTCTCCCTACGTCGCGGACCTGTTTCCTTCCCTTCCCATAGCAATTTAGGATTGCAGATACCATAATCTAATCGTCATAAACAGATCCCAGACTTCGCACTGCTACCCTTGACTACAATAATATCGAGTAATCTTCAGTATAATCTTTGCTAAATATTAACAAGGGATTATTTTCCTTTTGTACTGTATTTATAATTTGCTAGTATACTGTGGGTAGTTGGCTTATTATGAACACATGCTACAACTTCAAGTCTTTTGTTTACTTTTTCCTTGTTATTTAATTCAGCCAACATGGTAACCTAGCAACCCATAAGACTAATGTTAAAAAAATGAGATTTTCAGTTTCATATTTCTACGTAATTAGATTTTTGTTTGCAGTTCTAACTGCAGTAAACTCGTTTTTAGGCCAGAAATAAACTATTTACAACATTTGAAGAAAATCGTCGGAGCCGTTTTCGAGATCTTGTTTGCAAGCAAGCAAGCAAGCAAGCATACATACATACATACAAGCAAACATTGCTCGTATTAGAGTATAGGATTGGATACAGAAGTAGACAACCCATCTATATGGACCAGCTGTCACTATTTGTTTTTTTAAAGAACATAGTTGTGTGAGCAAGTCACAGAATGCGCTAGGTCCAATAGCACAATGATAAGGTACTTCTATTTTGTACCTTATTAATTGGTTGCTGACATAGTTGATGGGTCATTACAGTTGCTATAGCTCACAATAAGTCGTTCCGCCGTTTGACTTGGTGAAACAGTTCTTGTATTCAACAGAAATCAGTACCGGTAATTTCGATCAGGGCAATCTGTCGGTGGCTAACATCAACTACAATGATTTTGATTTAAAAACTAGCAACAACTTAAAACATGGGGATGGAATGTCAAGTTATATATCAATCTTCAAAGTTGTTACTGTGGCTAAATCACCATACTTAAGCTTGATTGCAATTACCGACTGTCATAAGGTAGAAATTCCCAAAAGCATTTAAAACTCAGGAGATATATTTAAATTTTAAAAATTTGACAGCAAAGTTAAAAAAGTCATTGTTTGTGTTGTAGACGATTGGTAAAAAATAAGAACATCATGTCTAAATAAATGTTTTTTGATGTTAAAAGTAACAAATTTAATAACATAAAATTCAGTAGTTTACAGTTACTGTATGTACTTCATCGCTGTAATATGTTTGCTAGGAAAACAAATGTGTACATTAGTCAAACATGAAACCCACCTTGTAGGAAAGGTTCCGCCTCAATATATGGCATTTTGAAAATCACAACAAATTGTCAAATTCAGGGGCAAACTCCGAGTAGAAACCTAGCACTGCTTATCACTGGGGTTATCTGTATACAATTAACTATCACAAACTGAAACATCAGGCTTTGGGAGGTTATCATTCTAAAACTTTCCAAAGTATTATTAGCAGTGCGAATTAAAAACTTTGAATGTCACTAGTGTGCAATTCTGTGTATTTTGAGGTTTTAAATTTATTAATGCTAGAATATTGACATCATTTTATATAATATAATATTTATAATTGATTAGCGCTCTAGAAATTAGTCCATAACTAAATAAAAAAATGATTTAGGATTGAAAGAATGCCACTTTCATTTTCCTAATAAGTTGGGTTGTAAAAGCAGCTAACTTCCTTATACTTATAGCTTATACTAGCTTAGTATAATTATTGATGTTTATTTATTTTATGGTATAACTAGCTGTAACCTGCGGGCTTTGCCCCGTTTAACTTCTTAATTTTCAAGATTATCTCGTTCGCATGGCTCAATCACGTCCTGGTTGAAGTTTGTTCGCTACGCTCACTCACCTTTAGGTTGGAGCTTGTTCGCTACGCTCACTCACCTTTAGGTTGGAGCTCGTTCGCTACGCTAACTCGCCTCCAGGTTGAAGTTCGTTCGCTACGCTTACTCACCTTTTGGTTGCAAATTAGCTGTTGTCATAAATGTAAAAGAAATAATAGTGCTGCACCCTGTTGGTAATCCTTGTAACTTTAATGCTATTGATCATCATAGAACAGAACCAACTTGTTTAGTTGAAACAGCTGTTAAGATTCAATAATTCCATTTCGCATAAGGTTAACATGGGAAACTCCAGAGCCACTGGGGCGGAGCCCGAAAGGATTTTTGAAATAAGAATATGCCTATATGTTAATCGGGAATGTGAGCTATCATCATGCCAAATTTCAGCCCAATCCGACCAGTATTTTTTGCGTTCACTTGTCACAAACAAACATCCATACATCCATACATCCATACATCCAAACTTTCTCATTTATAACATTAGTAGGATTTGTTTTGTTGTACCATTGACTATGGCTATGGATACTAAAGTAGACATCCTATGGACCAGCTGGTATTTGATTAACTAAGTTGAATGCTGATACTCACAAGTTTGCTACAATCTAAAATTCAATTTTCTTCCTTAGTTTTAGCGAATTTCCCATATAGGGAATAAACTATTACCGTAGGTCTCATGGCAAGACTTGGACCCGGGAACAATTTTCTTTTTCATTTTGATTTCCCTAGAGGCCAAAAACACCACCCGTTCAAATTCTTATATATATTTACTAGCAGAGTACCCGTCCTTCGTACGGGGTTTGCAGATAAGTATAAAATGCTTATTGCAGTTATACTCGAGCTTTGCGTTTTCAATGGGGGAGGACACAGTTTGATAAAATTTGCTTCTTTAAATTTACTATAGTATTACACATTTACCATAGCTATATAATGTTCCTACGTCCATTCGAACGAGTTCACGAACCAGCATGATAGGACCATGGAGACGGGGTTTTATGGGGGAATACCAGGATACCGAGCTTTGCTCGGATTGAATTTAAAATATTTATTATCTATATATTAATTTGAAACTGTTTTTTTTTTTTTTTGTGACAGCTGATTTGAGAGAACGGCTGGGCATAGAAACTCGGTAGAAGTGTCTAAAGAAAGGTCTTGGTCTGTAGATGAGCCAACAAAATAGAAATGTGGTAAATCCCCTTGGGGCTCTGCCCCAGTGGCCTTTAAATTCCCATCCCATGTTATTCTTATGGAGGAAAAACAGGGTTTTGTCATAGCTAATATGAGAGAACGGCTGGGCGTAGAAACTTGGAAGGGCTGTCTAAAGAAAGGATTTGGTCTGTAGATGAGCTATCAAAAGAGAAACGGGGTAAATTTCCTTGGGACTCTGCCCCAGAGGCCTTTAAAGTTCCCTCAGCAGATTTGTTTACATTATGATCATATGGTAATTTTATACTACTTTTAATGAACCAGATGTTAATATTAAAATTGTTTTACAAAGGTTAGTGTTATGAGCATTTACTGAATCTGTCAAAGCACTATTAAATAGCGTGAGTATTTCAATTATTTACATAAGCTTTTAGTCGGGTCTTTTAAACTCATAGAAAATTAATTATGACTGTTATTACTGTAGTTTTATAATAATAACTTCTGTATAATACCGGTACTTGACAATTGCTCGAATTCGAGCAACAGGTGCACTAGTATAATTTAATTAGCAAAATTAAAAGTATTTACGGTAATCAATGTGAACAACTAAGAAACAATGTGAACAATGGAAGCAAAGGAAGCGTTTTAATACACCTTTATAAATACATGGATAGATTGCAATAAAAAATAACCTGTATCAGCTGTTTATTACCGTAACTGCAGCTACAAAAAGGTATTGCCGATAACATGGGCACTTTCAAGGGCTGTAGGGTGGAAACTGGATTTTTGCCTTGTGACCAACTCCAATCGATTTCTCATGGCCAAATACCCCATTATAAATAAAAAAAGTTTAAATCCTTGGACGGTACACACGCTTGTTTTAGAGTATAGGATTATGGGGTAAAAATTGGTCTTTCTTGTTTTTTACCACCAAAACAAAAAATTCCCAATAATTGAGAGAAATTATTTCTCTCTTAAACATTTTGGAGAGCTCAAAAAAAATATTATATTGAGCTAAGTCCGCTAAGTCTGCAGGATTGCTGTGGTGGGGGTATTTATTTTTGTGATAGTTAATGTGACATTAAACATTAAAAGTTGTCCTTTCTTTTTTGCATGACTAAAACTGATTGGGGGCACTTAATTGCTCAAATAAACTACTTTCACTTTTTTCTAAAGCTGGTTCCAGCTTTAATCCGGTAATGAAATGTAAAGTTATATTCAAAGTCAAATGTAGGATCTCTGTTTAGTAAACAGCAATGTGCCTGATCAGAGCACATTTAGAAAATTTACTAGTTGTAAACAAACAAAAAAGTCTTAACTCAACTAGGATACAAAGTCTAATTATTGAATATGTTGAAATAAAAGGATTTAAGCAAATTGATAATTAATTGTTCTAACTAAACAATTTATGGTATATACAACAATTTGTTATATTATACAGTTTATATTACAATTAGTATGTTGAATTAAAGTTATAATCATCACATATTGTCTTTCTTCACTTTCTAAAATTGATACGTTCACAATCATTTAGAAAATTCTTAATATTTCTTTTGTTAGTTTTTCACTTCACAAAAAAGGCACTAATATTAAAAACATGGCTTAGCTTTCATAGAAGTTACGGATGTTGCCTGGAACTCTAATTTATTGTGGCGTACAATGGCTTTCAAAATTAAAGTTACGGTGAGAAAGTGAATAGGGGATTCTCACTGTTTCTAGAATGAGGTACATCAAATATTGCACAGATTAGACTGCTAAACTATAAAGTACATATCGGGTTATTGGTAAGATAATGTAACTTGAAATCCTATAAATGCTGGTAAAAGATAATAAATGTGATGTTTAAAAGCATTGTTAGAATTTGGACTCGTTTGAAAACTAATGCACCAGAACCGCATCCAATCCTAACAAAGTCTCTAATTCTCCATGAGCATACAGTCTGGATATTATGCGGCCACTCGCGTAATATTTTTGTTTGTAGAACACATGAGGAGGAACTGCGTTGTTGGTGATCTTTTCAAGTAGCTGCTCAATGCCTGGCTTGAGATCCTTGTATTCTTCATCATACAAAATCACAGCCTTCCACTTCACCTCCATGATCTCCATGGCGTGTTTTGTCATCTTATAGGTGTCTCTGAACTTGCTGTCTGTGAAAACCACTAAATCATCTGACTCTAGAGTCTGCTTCATGAACTTTGTCGCTGGGGTGTCATCTACAAAAAGCATGATGGTAAAAATAGCATTATGAAGACAGTGACAACCTTCTGGTGTGGTTACCCTTTTAGCACCAGAGGCTATATCAGAAACATGAGTAACATAAGGAAACTTCCACCTTACATCCAATCATGAGGATGTTACTCAAATTTGTTATATGAGGACAGTTTTTTTCTTAAATCAAATCGTAAGAAATCAAAATGTTTTTAGTAGGTATATCAATAATTTAATTTGACTTCATAGTGGTTCTTAGTCGTTTAATAGATTTAGTACTCCAACCATATAGTTTATTTTGATTGTAAAACGTAAAAGCAATATAAAGGAAACTCACTTTTTATGTACAACTAATTTTGGCTTTTATTATTTTAGGTTTCAGTGGAATTTTAAATTATTATGATGTTGATGGACATTTTCCTGAATGCAGATGTCCAAATTATGCAAACTATAAAAAAGAGTGCATACAAATTGTAAAATCTACCCTTACATTAGAGTGAAACATTGAGTTGACGCCGATGCAAACGTCACCAACACGAAACACTCATAAACATTTTTCTCTATTTTCCCATATATCGAGTAATCTTCTTCAATAGGAGTGTAATCTTTGCTCAATAGTTACAACTGATATTTTTCCCTTTGTACTGTATTATGTAGTTTGCTAGTATACTGTGGATGGCTTGTTATAAACACATGTTACAACAGAAATCTTTTGTTTAATTTTCCTTGTTATTTTGTTCAACTAACATAGCTTACTTAGCAACCCATAAGGCCAATATTATTTACTATTTTCAAATGAATAATGATTTGTGTAGTGAAATATGAATTTTCCTGAGTTAGTGCCTGTTGCCAATCACGTTTTTAGGGCTAGAAGTCCCTAATTCCAAAATTTTATCAAATCCTTCTGCTGGACTTTGAGATATATACATTACAGACAAACAGACATAGCTCGTATTAGAATATAGGATTATTTTAGTTGACTTACAAACGAGTGTACAGTTCTAAATCAGTAAATTAAAGTAATAGTGTTTAAGCATATGCACATGAGACTTCCAACAGTACATACCTTGAAGGAGATGGCTGATTTCAGTTAGAGGATGAAGAGGCATTTTATTGCAATATTTCTTACAGAATGAATATAAAACTGACTTAAAAGTTTGTAAAATGTCCTTCCCCAAACATATTTTGTGGGTAAACTTGATTTTGCAGTCACATGGTTACAAAGTTATGGTGAGATCAGTTATCAATGGCTTGTTATCACTATATATAGTTATAGCCATAGTTATGTGGGAATATGATATTGAGTGGAAAATATTACTTGTTATCTAATTATGACACGATTTGGATAATCATTAGATAATATCTGATGTATTTACTATATGGCTGTGCTTTGTAAGGCGTGTATGTGTATTTAGTATTTATGCCAGTGGCAATTCGTGTGAAAGTAACTAAATAATTTTTTAAGGGAATGCAGTCAAAATGGCTCAAATTTCTGAACAAATACATTTTAAATTGGGCAAATGTTTTTTCTCGTAATGTAGTCAAAACTGGATAGCTTATCTGATACTAAGAAGACTGTTTTTCAGTGGGTTTGTTAGTTTGCATGATAGGAAAGGTAATAATATTTGCTAGTGGTCGTCCAGTGGACGAAAACTCGACCAAAAATATGTAATGTACCCGCATTAAATATTGGATACTGAAGTAGACATTCCATCTATATGGACCAGTTGTCGCCATTTATTAAAAATTAAAAACCTGTAGTTGTGTGAAAATTATATTTTCTATCTTCTTTTTTGTTGCAGACAAAGTTGATGGGTCATAACAGTTAGTTGCTATAGCTCTTAATAAGTCATTCCATAAGTTCGACTTGGTAAAAATCATCGTGTATTTGAGAGAGATTAGTCATTTAGATCAGCTCAATCTGTTGGTGGAACACATCAACCACGACAAATTTAATTAAAACTGGTGACAACTTTAACATAGGGATAGAATGTCTAGTTGTAAGTCAAAGCATAGACAAATAGTACAGGCTTCTCTATTTTCACCCTACACGCTATAAATAAATCATGTGATTGTAATTTCTCCATTTGTTTTGACTTTCTGTTTAAATTTCTTTGTTATTTCGTCACCAGCATGGCAACCCATAAAGTCCATGTTAGTTTTTTAAAAATTTCAAATTCATTTTGCTTATATTTGAGTCTAATTTAATTTTTAAAGAGGTTTTGCACATCTACAGGAAAATATTTTTCTAACAGTATGCGTAGATTTTGCCTGCGATGCACACGAGCTGAGAAAAAAGGTTTTAAAGAAACATGCTTGCCTATTAATATATAGATAATGTGATGATTCCATAGAATGTAAATCACATGACTGAATGAACTTATTTCTATCTTAAATTATCTCAAATATATTAAATGGAGAGTTATAATAAAACTAGCTGAACCCGGCAGACGTTGTCTTGCCTTTGACTATTTATAATCCCGCGGGCTTTGCCCCGTTTAACTTCTTAATTTTCAAGATGATCTCGTTCGCATGGCTCAATCACGTCCTGGTTGAAGTTCGTTCACTACGCTCACTCACCTTTGGGTTGGAGCTCGTTCGCTGCGCTCACTTGCCTTCAGGTTCGCTCGTTCGCTAATCGCTACGCTCACTTGCCTTCAGGTTAGCTCGTTCGCTACGCTAACTCGCCTCCAGGTAGAAGTTTGTTCGCTACGCTCACTCACCTTTTGGTTGCAAATTAGCTGTTGTCATAAATGTATAAGAAATAATAGTGCTGCACCCTGTTGGTAATCCTTGTAACTTTAATGCTATTGAAAATCATAGAACAGAACCAACTTGTTTAATTGAAACAGCTGTTAAGATTCATTAATTCCATTTCTCATAAGGTTAACATGGGAAACTCCAGAGCCACTGGAGCGGAGCCGATTGGACGGATCACGAAATTGATGGTGTATAAACCTATTCCATGACATTCTACACGTATGTACCAAGTTTCGTGGCAATCGGTTCAGCGGTGTCTGAGTTTATCACTGCCAAACAAACAAACAAATATATATACAAACATCCTCTTTTATACTTATAGATGAATATATCATAAATATAGGGTACATTTATGACAAACCTATACCACAGACAAGAGACCATTAATTGGTTCCATAGTCTGTGCCTATAGAGTATAGACTGCTACCATTGTCTATTCTCACCTATTTAGCGCCTTCAGTCTCTAAAAGACATCCGCATTACGTTAACGACATGCTGTTGTATTTTATATCTGCAGGCACCTACCTTTTCTGCCAACTGAAGTTGTTTACTGTATTTTTTTGAGAGATACGGTAGTGGAAATTTACACTTGATTCAAAAGAGCTGTACTTCGGGTCAATATTTACTAGCTTTGTAAGTATAGCGGAGTAGTTGATACATTTTGTTCCTTTGTGATGGTTGATTTTATCATCACAAATGAAAGTAAATGTGATCATGTTTTTTTTTTGTAAGCTTTTAGTAGTTGTTGTTTCCGAAAGAAGTGAGATTTAGGTTTCTTATGAGGAATTTCTTCGTTGAAATAGCAAGAAGAATTTAATAAAATGTTGGGGTTTACCCTTTTTAGTTCGGGTCTAGTTCTAAATATTTTTTGGTGGGCTTAAAAATGTATTTTATTGGTATTCATTTCACAGTCAACAAGTTCGGGAGGAATATTGAAAATTCAATTTACAACTCCAATTACTCAAGAAGGACCAACGCAGAATTTTAAAATAAAAAAAAAATATCTAAATGACATAATTTAACAATTTTATGATTGAGTAAATTACCAAAGAAACATTAAAGCCAATGCCAAAATTCTTAACATAGAAATAAGTACTACAGTAGTAAGCTAAACAATGTTTACTCCAATAAATTCGCTTTCAAGTTTAAGGGTTTGGCCAATATACAGTATGTCTAGATAGTTAAGTACACCAACTGAGCAAAGCTATGTGCAATCTAAGGAATATCAAGTGTATCAAGGGGCTATAGTAGTAATTATGTCAATGTTACTCTTTATGATCTGGAAACAAAACCAAATATACAGGAAATGTTTTAACATCATTCTGCTGGTTTTGTATTGTTAAACATATGTTAATGGTAACCCTTAGTTGTGAGATCAATACTTTTGTTATAACTAAATCTATACAACTCGTTCTTATGAATAAAATATGGCGTCTTACCACCTTGCCGCGACTTCAGGGCGCCCCAAAACCGATTAAAATTTCCCGACCACAAGCTAAATAACCCCAACAGGTTGTATCCTGGGAACTTTGACCGGAAATGCTCACGCTCATATTACCATCATATCAGTCATGGGAGTATAGAAACTGGTTTATTGGTTCACGGGGAACTTTTGCCCTTGGCATTGTATTGTTGGCAAGGCGCAAATATCAGCTGATTGACCTTGAAAGTTCGTTCATCTGTGGTGACGACAGTGATAAGCTTTATTACTTTAGGATGCGCAAAATGGTTTGGATTCGTCTTGTGTTTACATAACACTGTATATTCTGCGTAGAACGATCATGTGTGCAAAGTATGACCATTAGTTATCTGGCGTTTCAGACCTGGAGTTTTCTATCAAATATGGAGAAGATAGGGTCCATATAACAACCTCGGCAACTAAAATTTTCCCTCTTTGCAGACGTGGTGCCATCAAATGTTACCCTATTACATCTCTTGTTTAAATGTAATTTTGTATTTCAATTTTCATATGTTAAGAATCTTTAGGTTTAAATATTGCCTGAACATTGGACACCTCGCAGAAACTGTTATCAATTAATTGTTAAAGAAATCCTGAAAATTTTAAAATAATACTTATCAATCTAATTATCTTCCAACTACACAACCAAATCAGGAACAGAAAGAAATTAGAACACTTTTCATTACTCATTATTTGATTCGCGACACAAACAAAACTAATAGAAGTAAAGGCTACAAGATCTATATAAGTATAAAAGAGGATGTTTGTATATATATTTGTTTGTTTGTTTGTTTGGCAGTGATAAACTCAGACACCGCTGAACCGATTGCCACGAAACTTGGTACATACGTGTAGAATTTCATGGAATAGGTTTATACACCATCAATTTCGTGATCCGTCCAATCGGCTCCGCCCCAGTGGCTCTGGAGCCTTATGAGAAATGGAATTAATGAATCTTAACAGCTGTTTCAATTAAACAAGTTGGTTCTGTTCTATGATGTTCAATAGCATTAAAGTTACAAGGATTACCAACAGGGTGCAGCACTATTATTTCTTTTACATTTATGACAACAGCTAATTTGCAACCAAAAGGTGAGTGAGCGTAGCGAACGAACTTCAACCTGGAGGCGAGTTAGCGTAGCGAACGAGCTAACCTGAAGGCAAGTGAGCGTAGCGAACGAGCTAACCTGAAGGCAAGTGAGCGCAGCGAACGAGCTCCAACCTAAAGGTGAGTAAGCGTAGCGAACGAGCTCCAACCTAAAGGTGAGTGAGCGTAGCGAACGAACTTCAACCAGGACGTAATTGAGCCATGCGAACGAGATCATCTTGAAAATTAAGAAGTTAAACGGGGCAAAGCCCGCGGGATTATAAATAGTCAAAGGCAAGACAACGTCTGCCGGGTTCAGCTAGTATAAAATAAAAAAGTAAACACTTCAAAAAATTGCATACTTATGTGTCAGGGTTATGCAATTGATCTTTGGACAGATCTGGTAAGATAAATTTGCATTTCACGATTTTCATTCGTTTGGATTTAAAACAACAAAGAGGTGTGTATTACCAATCCTTTGTTTTGCAGACCGTTGAATAATATGGACGTCTGTCCTCAATTTCATACACATAATACTGATATTTTAATGTACAAACTTTAACAACTCTACGTTTTGCCTCTACTTTTAATAACATTTCTTTGTTAGCTAGGAGATTAAGGATATAGTATATTTTCATCACTAGGGCCTAAATTGACCCTTTTCGACACGAGCACAAGTTTTGTACTTGGGTTGAAAAGACACGTTTAGCTTGTGTGATGAACTACATTTTTCGTCTTATTGTACAATTATTTGAACAAACAATTTTACAAAACTAAAATAGTTTTCATTTAAAGATAACCTCTCAAAACTAGTACTTAGTGATTGAATTTC